GCCGGGGGGCCCCTGAGTCAGGGGCCCCCAGCAGCCTCCCCAAGAATGGGGCCCTCTTAGGGCCTGCGCTGTTGCTGCTGCTGCTGCTGCTGCTCCTGCTGCTGCTGCTGCTGCTGCAACATGCAGCAGCAGCCGCAGCAGCAGAAGCAACAGCAGAAGCAGCAGCAGCAGCAGCAGCAGCAGCAGCAGGTGAGAAACATCTTTTCTGAGGCTTATTACGTTTCGTGAAATGAAAAACAGAAAAAAGAAAATAATTAAATCCGCAGACACTGCGACGCGCGCAGCAGGTGTACGTACACCGCAGCAGCAAGGACTTCTGCGCTGTATAGACACCCGAAATGAATATTAAATGTTTTTAAATGCCATTTTTATTTATTTATTTATTTATTTATAATGTAAATAAATAAACAAGTAAATAGTGCATGCATAGGAGCCCAAGGGTAGTAAAAGTCTTATTTATTTTTTTATTTATTCATTTATTTATTCTTGTGTTTTAATTTGTACTTTTATTTGTTCTCAATAAATTATTTATTTATATTAATTTGTATGTGCAAAGACAAGCATGTGTTTATGTATAAGCATATTTGTATTTGCAAAAAGAAGTTTATTTTTATTTTTATTTAATTTTAATTTTTAATTTCAAATTATATTTACTTTTTTGTGCTTAAAGAAATGCATTTAAACACAATAAAGGCAAAAATAACCAAAAAAATAAATAAAACATAAATCGAAAAGAATAAAGTCAAGATTGAAATAAAAGTGGAATTAAAAGCATAAATGGAAATAAAAGTGTAGATGGAAATAAAAATATAAATTGAAAAATATACAAAGGGAAATTACAGACTTTTAATGCGAAAAAAAGTTAAAATAGAAGCAATATAAACAGAATAAAATAAAAATAAAAATAAAAATACAAGTGATAGTTGAAATTAAAATAAAACTTAAAATTAAAATTAAAATTAAAACTAAAATAAAATTTTAATTTCATTTTTGCCTTTTGCGCTGCTGGAGATAAAGTTGGTGTGTACATACACCTGAAGACCGCTGCAGTAGTTCAGCAAATGTTTTTATTTTTTCTTTTCGGAGTTTATTTTATTATCCATAAATTCTATTTAAACTGTTATTATATTTAATACGCATGCCTATTTAATTAATTATTCATTTATTTCTTTTTTATTTACATTTTATTTATTTGTTATTATACAATTTCCCAGGCATATGATATGCACATCTATTTAATTAGTTATTCATTTATTTACTTTTAATTTATTTACTTTTTATTTATTTGTTTTTATTTATTCCTTATATAATTTCCCAGGTATATAATATGCACAGCTATTTAATTAATTATTTATTTATTTACTTTTTTTTATTTACTTTTTATTTATTTTTTTAAATTCATTGAATTCCATTTTCATTTATTTTAAAATAATAATTCCATTTTCTTTTTTATTTAAAATGTAAAAAAGAATTTATATTTGAGGGCTTTTGGAGTCAACTTGTGCAGCAGGAGCTTGCTGCCTGAATGCTGCTGCTGCTAAACCCTAAACCCTAAACCCTAAACCCTAAACCCTAGCAGCTAATTCGGCGTTGAGGCCTCGCCTTCGACAGAAAGCGAAAACAATAAAAGAAAGAGTTGATGACAAAAATTGACACAAACCCTAAACCCTAAACCCTAAACCCTAAACCCTAAACAAAAGGAAAATAAGAGAAAACAAAAATGCCGCAGCTGCGCTAAAGCTCAGCAGCAGCAGCTGCCAGAGCATTTGCTGCTGTAGGTGCTGCGGCTGCTGCCGCTGCTGCAGCGGCTGCCGCTGCGGCTCCGCTTTCCCTGCTGCCGCCGCTGCTGCTGCTGCTGCTGCTGCTGCTGCTGCTGCTGCTGCTGCTGCTGCTGCTGCGGCTGCGGTGAGCTGCAATAAAACTGGCCACAGCTTCTTTGATGGCTTTTCTTCCTTCCTTCAAAGAAGAACTGTCCGAAGGCGAAGGGCTGTAAAAGTCCGTGCAGTGCGACCCGCCCTGCAGCCCCACAGCAGCAGCAGCAACAGCAGCAGCAGCAGCAGCAGCAGCAGCAGCAGCAGCAGCAGCGGCAGCAGCAGCAGCAGCGGCAGCGGCAGCAGCGAAACAGAAGCATCAGCAGAAACAGCAGTGGCGGCCGCAGAGCAGTGGCAGCAGCAGAAGCAACAGCAGCAGCAGAAGCCGCAGCAGCAGCAGCAGTAAAAGGGGTAGCAGCAGCAGCGGAAATGGCAGCAAAAGCAGCAGCAGCAGCAGCGCCAGCAGCAGCAGCAGCAAAACAGAGCTGCTGCTGCAGCCGCAGGCGGCCGCACAGAGCTTAGGGTTTAGGGTTTAGGGTTTAGGGTTTACTTGGATGACGAAGGCGGAGACTCTTTGTTGGACTTCAACAGATTTTGGAACTTTTAAAACTGAAAGACTTTTCCAAGGATCTGCTGCTCCGTTGGTGAAGTGTATGTTCGTTGCGGTGTCTGTACACCCCAGCTGCTGCCCCCCGCCCCACAAATTCGTTTCTTTGGCGCCTTTGTCTGCAAACCTCCCTTCTGAGCAGCAGCAGCAGCAGCAGCAGAAGCAGCAGCAGCAGCAGAAGCAGCAGCAGAAGCGGCAGCAGCAGCAGCAGAAGCAGCAGCAGCAGCAGCAGCAGAAGCAGCAGCAGAAGCAGCAGCAGAAGCGGCAGCAGCAGCAGCAGAAGCAGCAGCAGAAGCGGCAGCAGCAGCAGCAGCAGAAGCAGCAGCAGAAGCGGCAGCAGAAGCAGCAGCAAACCCGCAGACTTCTTGGGGTTTACGAGGGTTTAGTAGGGTTTATGAGGGTTTAGTAGGGTTTGGAGGGTTTGTGAGGGTTTACGAGGGTTTGGTAGAGCCTATGAGTGTGTATGAGGGTTTGATAGGCTTTAAAAGGCCATGCGAGGCCTTAGTAGGGTTTCATATGGTTTAGTAGGGTTTAGGGTTTAGGGTTTAGGGTTTAGGGTTTACTGGGGAGGGGGAACAGCTTGTTGCAAACGTCGATGTGGAACTGCTCGGTTATGGACTCGGGCCGCAGGCTGCCAGGGTAGGCCACCTAAACCACAAATTAGGGTTTAGGGTTTAGGGTTTAGGGTTTAGGGTTTGAAGGCGAGCAGCAGCAGAGGCACGCTCAGCCCACGTGGGTCTACTGCTCAGAGCCCCCAAGTTTAGGGTTTAGGGTTTAGCGTTAAGGTTATAAAGTTTACAGTTTAGGGCTTAGGGTTTAGGGTTTAGGGTTTAGGGTTTAGGGTTTAGGGCACCTGCCAAAAGCCAAACTGTGCGCAGCTCTGCCACATCCACAGTCGCGTGTTTGAGAGCACCGAATTATCTGCGGAGTCTCCAAACCCTAAACCCTAAACCCTCAAACCCTAAACCCTCGATCCTCAAACCCTAGGCCCTAGAACCCTAAACCCTACCTCCTTGCATGCAGGTAAATGGCAACCCAAACCCTAAACCCTAAACCCTAGGCCTTCGGAGTCAGGGCCACTTCACCGGCGCCCTTTGCGCGCTGCAGTCCCAAACCCTAGCCCCCAAACCCTAAACCCTAAACCCTAAACCCTAGGTCTTCGCACCCAGCTGCGTGCCCGTGGCCGCCAGCATGTTAACACTTTTGCAAGAAGTCTTTTTGCGGCGAAGGGAAAACTTGAAGTACTTCGCCAGGCCCTCCAGCAGCTGCTGCTCTGCTGCTGCTGCTGCTGCTGCAGCAGCAGCAGCAGCAGCAGCAGCAGCAGCAGCTCCTTCGCCTTCTCTTTCTTTTCCCTCCTTTTCTCCTTTCCCTTGGGCCTCCCTAAAAATCTCCCCCAAGGGGGCCCCCTGGGGGGGCCCCTGTAGGGGCCCCTCGGGGGCCCCCTGGGGGGCCCCCTGGGGGGCCCCCTGGGGGGCCCCCTGGAGGGGCCCGTCGGGGGCCCCCTGGGGGGCCCCCCGGAGGGGCCCCTGGGGGGCCCCCTGGGGGGCCCCCTGGGGGGCCCCCATGAGGGGCCCCAGGGGGCCCCCTGTTTGCTTCGGAGTGTCTTGAGGGTTTTCTGCAACTCCCAAATAGTTGCAGAGGGTTTCTACTAGGGGGCGTTCGACAGGCCTGTTGTACTGCAAAGTGCAAACCCTAAACCCTAAACCCTAAACCCTAAACCCTAAACCCTCGGCACACAAAGTAAATCCTGGGCCGTGAGAAGTGCAGCCCTGGGAGGCTTGGGTGTCTCTCTGTGGAAGCCAAATCTCCTTGCACCCCCCTTGCCCCCCAAACCCTAAACCCTAAACCCTAAACCCTAAACCCTAAACCCTACCTGGACTGCTTCAGCAACAGCGTCCACAACTGCATAAACAAAAGCCACTCTTTCCAGGTCGCTTTGGACTTTCAAGTCTTCGCACCCAAACCGCCGGAGTTCATCTTCCTGCAGCCAAACCCTAAACCCTAAACCCTAAACCCTAAACCCTAAACCCTAGGCGTTGCGCCCTGAACTCCAAACCCTAAGGCGTGGAGCGCACATCTCCAACCCTGCGTGGCCTGCTAGAGTGCAGGCTTGGGCGGGATTAAAATTAGGGTTTAGGGTTTAGGGTTTAGGGTTTAGGGTTTGGGGTTTACGAGTTGGGGGCTGCTGGCGGCGCGGCTGAGGGCGCGGAGTGCAGCAGCAGCAGCAGCTCTGCAGTGTACAGACAGCTGAGACCCCACAACTTTGTCAAACCCTAAAAAGGAGTTTAGAGCTTTTGTTGGAGAAGAAGAACTTATGGCTCCTCCTATTAAAAAGGGGTATTTGACTCTCCCGTACGCAGCCAGTGCCCCTGCGCACAAACCCTAAACCCTAAACCCTAAACCCTCCTCCTATTAAAAAGGGGTATTTGACTCTCCCGTACGCAGCCAGTGCCCCTGCGCACAAACCCTAAACCCTAAACCCTAAACCCTAAACCCTCCTCCTATTAAAAAGGGGTATTTGACTCTCCCGTACGCAGCCAGTGCCCCTGCGCACAAACCCTAAACCCTAAACCCTAAACCCT